TTCTTAGGAACAAGAGATAGATCCAAGTACAAAAATACTCCAAAGTATCTATGTGTCTTGCAAGGAGAGTGCAATCATGTTTAAAATATACATGTCTATGTGGTGGGATTTGAAAATTTTTACTACTGGTTCTGTGGGTGTGGCTTGGTGGGTGTGGCTTGGTGGGCATGGCAGGGGAAGAATACTGTAAAATCTCCATTCCCTCCACACTCCAGGGGAAGGTTATTTCAAAATTTCCATCTCCTCCCAATCAGCCTAGACTTGGGAGGCAGAGAATAGATTGGGGAGGGGCAGTCAGAGGTGGTATTTACCGGTTCTCTAAACTATTCAAAATTTCTGCTATCAGTTCTCCAGAACTGGTCAGAGCCTGCTGAATACCACCTCTGATGTCTATGCTTCTTTGGAATTATTGCCTTTCAAATTACCACCTTCTGCTTCACTTGCAATGAATTATCTGTTATCTGTCTCACTCTCACTAGGCCATTCAGTGGAGTCATACAATTTCTTGAAAAGTTTATGGAGACATAGAATTGACTGTCAAAAGCACATTGATAAATCCAGCTGCATATCTCAAGTGTTTCAAGATGATATCAAATATTACTGGGAACAGAATAAAGCTGTAGACTTTCTTATACCTCCTGTTTTAAGGATCTGTGTCCAGGCAACATCATTTGAAACCTATCTGAGAGATGGGAATGGAACTATTACAAAGCCATTCTGCCTATTCCCAAATCTCTCAAATGATCCAGATGGTTGATGGTATCTAAAGCCACTGAAATACCCCTAAGAAAGAATCAAGTCAATTCTATCCTTGATATTTGACACTTCTCACACTACAAGTCTTCAGAGAAGTTTGGCTTCTGACAATGGCAGTAGCCATACAGATTTCCAACCCAGATTTGAAGAATCTAGTATTACTTGAAAGAGGCTACGTGAAGTCCTGTTTGTTCAAAGCAGGTTCCAAAACAATATTATTTTTCTTTTTTGCAGACATTGAACTGATAACAAAATGGGAGTTATTAATAACCTTCAACTATGGGGCAGTTTAAACCTTTCAATAAATAAATAAAATAATGCTTCCCGTCCCCTGACTTGTTATGATCAATTTTAATCAGCTAATGTGATTAAATGTGAACTTCTTAATATCTACTTTTGGTAATGGAAAACAAATTTTCTTATACAATAAAAGCATATTTAATAATGAAATGTATACCAACCTCTTCAAAACTGACGAGACTTTTGCGGCGCCTTTTACTGGTTTCATTTTCTTCCACCTGAAAGCAATGAAATCAAGTTGAGAAAGCATTCACAACTGTAAATGTATCAACAAAATTATCTATTTAATAAAAGGGCAAATTAACATGCTGTGCATTAAAAAATCAAATTAGTTATAAAAGGAGAAAGGGCAAACAGTATAATTAAATCATGCACCAGGTACAATTCAAGGTTTCATTATGCATATTTCTACAAAGAATTAACTGGAGGACTAATTTTAGGTTACTTTTAATATGTTATAAAGCCAGCTGATGTTAATGTTTTTCTTTCTACAGACACCAACCTATTCTCAGCTATTGTTGTTATTTATAGTCCAAATTAGAGTATGTTTTTTTCAGTCTCCTCTATTCTATTCATAAGCTGTGGAATTTATATAATCTGATTTTTATGTGAAAACCACATATGACTAAAAGCCACTTTGTCTTCTGCCATTCTTCTTTGTATTATCTCAGCACGAGCACTTTTCTCATTAACAGCTAAAACACAAAAAATACATGAGAACAACTACCTGAATTAATAGATTTCAAGGCGTTAAGGAGAGCAAAAGATGAATTTTCTTATTATCCTTATCTATATTCTATGTTTGATACAAAAGCAGCCCACACATATCAATGCATTTGGATTGTAGATTAAACACATGAAATTATTTATTGTATTTATCTGACATCTCGTAATAATGCAGGGTATCACACAATTCCAATGTCACAGTAGCTCAGAAACCTGCCAGGAGATAATCTGGTTCCCGATTCAAGGTCTTTATGCATTATTTTGGGCCTAAAGATCCCAGTATTACACATTTTTTAATGACACCACTCATTAAATTGTGTATACTGCTGCCTAATTCAGGTCCTGGATAAATCACCAGTTATTCTTTATATAAGGAAGACAGATGTTATCAGTGATATGAATTAATTTATATAGCTTTCTACCTCTAAAAGAGGTAAAAAGTATCCTGTGAATATTTCAACATTATGCCAGTTTAACAATATTTCATGCAAGTTTGAGTGGCATTACTGATAAAATTCAACACTCTGGCTGAGCTTGCAAGCCACATGATTTCACATAAGCATATTTCTGTTGGAACTATTTTATAGCTATGTGTAATCTTCTAAATGATGGGCAAAACCACTCTTAGGTCTCCTTTCCAAAACATTGACAGATGTATAATTCTAAAAACTGCCTTAAAAGTTTCAAAGTTTTTAGTATGAATCAGACTATTGTCTGTCTAGATAAAAATCATCACTAATGATCACATGAACCAGAATTACCCTTATGCTCTTGGAAGAGGCTATAACAGAAAATCCTCCTACTAATATAAACCAGAAATTGTTTTTATTTGCTCCCTGCCAAGCTATTTGTCTGATCTCCATTCCCTGTGAAGCAGGGAAGTAAGTAAAAGAACCATTTATGGGACAGCATTCGTGTTACAGATTTGTAGATTTAATCCATAGATCATTAAAACTAAGTTTCTGTTTTTAAAAAATTTTCATATTCACTGTTCATTTAATAACAATAAATTTTGTTTGTGTAGCTAAGAGCAGGGAAGCTGGCATAGAATAACAATACAGAAAAAAATTAAGATGTCTTATTTATGTTAACTTGCGAGACTGGAAAAGTTACAATGAGCAACATCATGAAATACACTATATCAATATTTTAGCAGAGGAATCTACTATAAACTTGTTTTGGAAATTTGAGGATTTTTGTCCTATTTCTGCCAAATTGGATAGTTGGGTTTCAATTGAATAAACACAGCAGTTCTGTTTGCAAGGCTGAATAAAGAAAAGCTGTTTCCTAAAAAGGGCATATGACTACTGGTAGATAGCTTAATATTCACATGATTTGATGGTATTATTTATAGAATGGCTGGCATAAAAAGAATCTTACATTTTGTATTTGGAAGGCACTCTTAAACTGTATTCATTGGCCTTCAGAAGGCAGAGTTAATACAGCTTTAAAAGTACACAGTGCATTCATTGTTTTTAGTTGCTAGTTATTGAAGACGTTGACCAAATATTTTGTACATTCTCTTACTTGATCAAGCAATCTTTATAAAATGATGCACGCATGGTAATGTCTCTGGGGGCATTCTAGGGACACATAAGTAGATGTAGGGATAAATGTAGGGGGGAGAAAAAGGAGGGAAGTTACACTGTATTCGTGAAATCTTGTCACATACTGGAATGAGCCATTATTAGCTGATTATAAAAATCAATGCAGCTAATTTGTGGTGGTGTAAGTTCCACTCATCACAGGAGTAATTAATTATAGTCAGATGGCAATTTTAACCAACATAGACTCCATCAAACAGTACTATATGATGCAAGTTGATAGATGAATTATCTAAGCTACACCAATTTCATTATTAAAATACTGGGAAGCTTAAGCTTATATTTGAACTCAAATATTATGCAAGATGGGACGCAGTGGCTCAGTGGCTAAGACGCTGAGCTTGTTGATCAGAAAGGTCAGCAGTTCAGTGGTTCAAATCCCTAGCGCTGCATAATGGAGTGAGCTCCTGTTACTTTTCCCAGCTTCTTCCAACCTAGCAGTTCAAAAGCATGTAAAAAAATGCAAGTAGAAAAATAGGAACCCCCTTTGGTGGGAAGGTAACAGCGTTCCATGCGCCTTCAGCGTTTAGTCATGCTGGCCACATGACCACGGAATCGTCTTTGGACAGCACTGGCTCTTCGAATTTGAAACAGATATGAGCACTGCCCCCTGGAGTCGGGAACAATTAGCACATATGTGCGAGGGGAACCTTTACCTTTACCTAATATTATGCAAAGCTGTTTCTTTTTCTGATACATAAGAAATATGATAGAAGGCTTTATCTCAATTTAATTTTCATACATAGGATGAAATTTAATTTTCTAAATTTAATTTAAAATTAATTCATTTTTTTAAATTTAATTTTTAATACAAGTTAATGTTCTGGAGTTGTATCTCTGTATAAAACTGAACTTTCTTCCA